ACGCTCTTCCGATCTCCCCAAAACCCCAAAACCCCATTCACACAAAAAATGAATTTTTCTCGATAAATTAAAGAAATTAGATAAAATTTAAATGGAGATTTATGAAATTATATATCCGATAATACCACTTGAATTTAAACATTAATCATAGTTTAAGTGTTGATTGAATAAATCTTCCATCGACTTTGTAGTCCTTACTGAATAGTCCTGACTTGTAGAAATCTGTAAGATTGTGGTTGGAAAAATCTCTGGCCTCGTGTTCAAACTATTCAATCGGAATCTTTACCTCAATCTTTTCAACCTCCTCAATGCCCTTTATGAATTTCTCATAGATTGCTCTGTCATTGACCATTTTCTTGAGTAGATGAACGAGAAGTTGATTCGGATCAGACTTCTTTGATTTGTATTGCTCAAATTTCTTGCCAAGTTGCCTTGCAACTGAGAGCTTTTGAGATTGCAGGAAACTCTCCAAGAGCATCTCAATGGCTTAGTCAATATCGTCACTTCTCACATAATCTCTCAAATGCATTTTAGCATGAGCTTCAGACATTCTTAAAACTGACTCAATATGACGGACTGCGATTGGAATACCTCCAACGATGGTTGATTCGCGGCGAATGTCAGCATAGAATTGAGTGACCTTGTCCTTATCGATTTCGTTAAGTTTAGGATGAACGTATTTTCTTGCATACATAATATACTTTTTCAGGAGATCTTGAGTAATAGTCTCTTCATTAACTTAGCTTAAAATTCTATTATCATCTAATAGATTTCTTTGAAGCCATTCTTTTGTAGCTTCTCTTCTTTCAATTTCCTCGGGTTCAGCCTCAGCCTCATTTTCCGCTCCTATCTTGAGGTCTCTTTGAACTTCTGGATGACTCTTAATATGAGAATTTATAACGAATGTAGCAAGAGCATCGTCAGCCTCCTCATTTACTTCATCTTTAATTACTGTCAGAATGTCGAATCTTGATAAGATAGGATCAGTCAAATCAACATTATCAACAAAGTTTAGAGCGTTGTTGTATGTTCCCTTAATAGGATTGGCAGCTGCAATGACAGTGCATCTGGCTTAAAGAGAGGTAACAATACCAGCTTTTGAAATAGAAATTGATTGTTGCTCCATAGCTTCATGGATAGATGTTCTATCGCTGTCATTCATTTTATCAAACTCATCAATTAAACATACTCCTTTATCAGCAAGTACAAGAGCACCTCCTTCAAGGGTCCACTCTCCAGAGATAGGATCTTTGTGGACTCCAGCAGTGAGACCGACAGCTGAGGCTCCTTTACCAGTAGTGTATACACATCTGTGGAATACTTGCTCGACATATTTCAAAAATTATGATTTTGCGGTACCAGGATCTCCTAGCAAGAGGCAATTAATGTCTCCTCTGATTCTATGCTTACCGCCAATATCCTTAGCCTCTCCTCCAAACATGCAGAGTGCTAGAGCTTTCTTCACATATTTGTGACCGTAAATACTTGGAGCAATTGAGTCAATAATCTTTTTACCAATATTGCTTGATTTTGATAGTTAAATGATTTGTTGCTTATCCTCATCAGTCAAATCGTAAATTTCTTCATCGCCTTGTCTCTTAATATTATTAGCTTCAATAATGGTGGTAAACACCGGGAATCCGTGCTTTAGATTTGCCATATATTCGAATCTGTTAACAAAAATACCTGTAACCTCGACTTCGTCACCTGGTCTTGCTGAATCCACTAAATCTTGAAGAACATAGACTTCCTTTTGCCTGGGTACTCTTCCAGGTGGGACAGTTCCTGGAGTCTCTTAAAGTGTCATCTTCTGGTAGTTTCTGTAAATAGTTTTTGTTTCGTCGAGGGTATATGGTCCATTCGCTTGACACATAACACATTAACCTAGGTATGACTTAGCTTCTACATAAGTATTGTGGAATATCGGTCCTTTTATATCTCCACAATTGCATTTAAAGAACATCTAGGTGAGTTCTGGCATTATATTTGTCCTCTTAGTAACTACTCCTCTAATTTTTATCAGTGCACTCAAGTGAATTTGCCTTAAATCTCTTAACTTATCTTCCACAGGAAGTCCACCAATTCTGACATAGATAACCTTGTGGATTTTGTTGTATTCCGGGAAAAGCTCTAGAGTAATATCGTATGCAACAATATTGAAAATAGGTAGTATTAATGCTGGTTCCTCTGCTAGCCAAATTGCAAGAGTAGGATACTTTTATGAAAGGTGAGTGAAGTTAATTTCCAAAGATTATTTGTTATTGGAGCACATCTCGTTAATCTTTTGTTCATGTACATTTTATTGATTTTCATCGTTGAATGTTCTAAGGAAGTGAGCAAAAACTTTTCTAATCCATCTTGTTACTTCAGGTCTTTAAACCCAAGCAGATAACTTCCCTTTAACATCTTCATAGTCTAGGACATCTTGCATGTTAACATCTTAATTATAATCCATTTCGCGGTCTTATCTTAATTACTTCATTCTTTCCAATCTAATTTATCTCTGTAGTTCATCCTCTTCTGAGAACTCATTTTCATCATCCATGAAAGCACCTGGAATTCTTGACTTATTTCTTTACTTGTATCTCGCTTCCTCTGCTAACTTTCTATCAACTTCCCTTCTATCATTGTAGTCAAGCTCTTCTTGATCTTCATCATCAATTCCATCAGCTTCATATCTGTCAAGTTCATCTTTCCTCTCATAATCTCTATAAAATCAGTCAAAAAGGTAGACTAAACATACTGCTCCATATTTTCTAGGAGATCCTCTCCGTCGTCCTCAGACTCAACAATTCCATGTCTCTCTCTATCATCCTCTTCATAAACATCATTATCATCTTCCATTGCTTCATCTACATGTTCATAGTCACCTTCTTCTTTGTCTCCTGATCTATATTCATTATTTGACTACTATAAAGTTAAATACCCAAATAAAAGTTCCTCATCCTTCTTAAGATCATTTGAAACTTCATTAAACTTTCTCTTTTTACTGTGCCTCTGGGAATCGCTCATTCTAGCGCTTTTAAATTTAGAATTAATTATATCTATACCGCAATAATTCTTTATTCTTATCTCAATCAATCTATTATAGATACTAGGGGTTTTGGGGTTTTGGGGTTTTGGGGTTTTGGGGTTTTGGGG